AAACAAAAGACAAAAAACCATCGAACAGCCGGGCTTGTAAGACCACGCCCGGCAAAAGAGCAAACCAAAACGTCGACCTCCCGGCCTTGTAAGACCACGCCCGGCGGGCGTGGTCTTACAAGGCCGGGATGACCTACACTTTTTGTGGCTTTCTTCAAGAGAAGAACAAGAGAGAGAGAGAGAGATAACCACCATCATCATCATCACCAGCATCATCATAATCATCATCACCATCACCATCAGCATCATCATCACCACCACCATCATCATCATCATCATCATACTCATCATCATAGTCAACATTACCATCCTAATCCTCATTCGCATCATCATCGTCAGCATCACAACCACCATATACAAACCACCATCAGCATCATCATCGGAATCATCATCACCATCGTAACCATCTTCATATCCTCATAGTCGTCGCCATCATCATCACCACCATCACCATCATCGTCACTATCACGATCACCATCACGATCACCATCACCGTCCTCATTGTTATCATCATCATCATCATCGTCATCATCATCATCACCATCATCATCTGCATCGTCATCATCATCATCTGCATCATCAATCATCACCATCAGCATCATGACCATCAGCATGTCCACCACCACCACCACCACCGTCATCATCATCATCATCATCATCATCATCATCATCATCATCATCGTCATCATCCATCGCCATCATTGTTACCACCAGAACATCACCACAACACTTGCCTTACAACCAAAACAATGAATGTAACGCTTCGAAGAAAAGACCGCCGTTAAATGATATGAGACTTCTACATAATGAGCACACGGGCAAATGCTAACGATCTTACAAAATGTGTTGGCTGAATACGCGAACGGACTGAATTCGGCGGGCCCCCTGCGGGGGCCCTCGCCGTGTTGGACTTTGAGAAGAGATGATGAAACGAAGGTCAAATTGAGGATGCTGAGAAGCATGCGTAGGCATGCTAAGAGCGGCCTCGCGCATTCCGCTGGCCTCAAGCCCGCCTCAAGATGACCGACTTTATCAATTCTCTGGGGGACATTTTAGAATAGAAGTGAAACGTGCTCCCAGCGCTAGGCCTACGCGAGTGAAAGCTCCTGGAACACATAATAACATGACTGAGATACGCCCTCAGGGCTTCGAAAGCATCGTTTCGGCGAACCCGTCACGCATTTCGTCTCTGACATTGTTCTGGGACGCGTAGAAACGCAGTGAGCAACGACATCAGGGCTACGACGCTGCCATTTCGGTCCGCCCCTAACGCATTTCCTGGTGCACGCTCTATTGGGGCACGTGAAAATACGACTGTCCTGTTCTCCGAGGGCCACGAAGGGCTCAATGCTGCACACCCCTCGCGCATTTCCTGCCCCAGACTCCACTGGGACCCGTGAAAATACGAATGCTCTGCGCTCTGCAGCTTCTGGGGGTCCGGGGGGAGGAGTCCCAGGGGGTCTCCCGGGGGTCGTGACCCTCCCCTCCAGCCAAGACTGCAGGGGCCCTGGGACACGCAAATTCGCCGGCCCAACGGGCCAGAGGCGTGCTAAGATCTCCAGCAACTGGTTTAACAATATTTCTAGTTCGCGCGCGCGGAGCGGCCCCTGGGGCCCCCCTGGATAAAGGTACCCCGGCAAGGTCCCGGGAGAAGCCCCCAGAGCACTCCAGGGGAGGGCAATTTTTCGACACCCCTCACGAGCACCGTGGCCTCCGAGGGGGGAGCCGCAATCGACTACCCCCCCTCCCGCCCCCAGAGGCCCCCAAAAGCCCACCAAGAGGCCCCTGGGGGCCCCCAAGACGCCGTCAAGGAGCCCCAAGAGACTCCCAAGAGGTCCCCAAAAGGCCCCCAAGAGGCCCTAAAGAGGGCTCCAGGGCTGGCGGAATGAGCGAAGCGATTAGATAAATACGCACAAATAACAGGATTCCAACTATTTTTCTATATTTTCTGGGTTTTTGTCTTCCCCCCCACTTTTCTGGGGAATCGACGACTAAATTGTGTCTTTGTGTTTTTGTTCCCCTCCCGAAAGGCGGCCCTAAGAGAGCCCCACCGAGCCGCAAGAGGAGGAACCCCGATCGAGTCGGAGGGGAAGGCCCGCGATCCCTTCCCCGCCAGAGCGGGGGTCGTCCCGAGGAGGGGATCGCTGGGGGCGATCCCAGGAGGGGTCTCCAGACTTTTTTTGTCAAAAAACAAGGCCGACACGCGGAGGAGGGAGGGAGGAGGAGGAGGAGGAGGGAATGGGAGGGAGGGAGGGAGGGATGGGAGGAGAGGAGGAGGAGGAGGACAGGCCTTTGGGCGAGCATCTCGGCATGTCTTTTTCTTTCTTCGGAGGGGGCGGGGGGGGGGGATACGCGGGGGGCATGCCTGGTTGGGATGCTGGAGATGGTGCGACGTGTCGGCGTTCGACACCCTCCTGCTCTCCTGACGGGGCTTGAGAAGTGAGAAAGGGGAAGGGCGGATCGCCTTAGGGGGCAGCACTGCGCTACGCCCATGCGCGGTGGACGGAGGCCGAGGCTGGTTCTAGGATACGCTAAGTGCCCGTGGAGATGTAAAGCGGCTGCGGCTCGTATCAGGAGTGGGGGTTCCTCAGCGGGGCGGGGGCTGTCGCCCGCTGTGGTGTGGCGCCGAGTTGCCCCCCGGCTGGAAGGAGTGAGGGTGGGAGGGGGAGGGGGGGGGGGGAGAGGGGGGGGGCGGGCAGAGGAGCCGCCCGCCATCCGCGAAACTGCTCCTCCCTGCCTCCTCCCCGAATTCTTTGGGGCAGTCCCGAGGCCGACAGGGCCCAGCAGGGCCCACGCGCGGGCGCGAGAGCGCCGTCGTCGTCGTCGCCGTCGTCCTCGTCGCCCCCGGGACCTCCTGTCGGCACCCATTTCGCGCCCTTCGTGATTTTTTTTTTCTAGACCAGCATCAGTGGTCTAGAGGTAGAATACATCGCGCCCTTCGTGAATGTTGGGCGCTCATCTGGCCCCCGAGACGACTCCTTGGAGCCTCAATTTCGCACACCCTGCACGCACGTCGTGCCCCATCGACCTCAAAAAAGGCCCTTCGCTGGTCTCCCACACCGCCTTGCCTCCAAGGGGCGCAGGCATGGCGCCAAGAAACATTGCAACGATTGGTGACGGCCCTCGTCGAGGCAGGATCCCTAAGCCCCACTGGCTGCAAAATCTGCGTGCGAGCTTCCCCCGTGCGAGCCCGCCGTGATTCCTGTCCTGCTGGCTCCGTTCGGCGGGCCCCCTGCAGGCCCCCGCTGTGCTGAACTTCGGAAAGAGAAGATGAGGAGACGAAAGTGACATTCGGCGGGCCCCCCTGTGGGCCCTCGCCGTGTTCAGCTTCAGTTAGACGTGCTCCGAGCGCTAGGCCCGCGCGCGTGACAGCGCCTGGGACACGCGAAAAACACGGGTGAGATGCACCCTCGGGGCGGTGAGAGTCTCGCTTCGGCGCACGACTCAAGCAGTCCATCTCTGACATTATTCTGGGTCGCGTGCAAGTGCGGGTGATCCGTGCTCTCATACCTGTGGACCACTTTCACATACAAATGATTTGCGTCTCAACTCTCGGAGATGTACCAACGTAATTGATTCGGACTTCCATCCTTCTGGGAGCCTCAACTTGGCAGACTCCTCGCACACGTCGTGCATCATCGGCGCTCGGGTGGCACCCAAGGCGTCTCCTTGTGGCCTCAACTCGACACAACCCTCAAGCATTTCATGCCCCATGAACATCCAGGGACGATCTGATGGCGATCAAGACGGCTGGAGGGATTCTCAATTCGGCGCACCCCGCACGCTCCCATCTGACCGCTCAGACGACTCAGGGGAGCTTAAGTTCGGGGCACCTCTCACGCACTTCGTCCCCCATGGACACATAAATGGCCGTCCGACCCCCTACGGGACGCCAACCTGGCCCCAAGAAACATGGCAACGATTGGTACCGACCCTCGTCGAGGCAATACCCCAAACACCAACTGGTTGCAGCATCTGCATATAAGCTTCCCGCTGGGGGCCCGCCGTGACTCCCGTTCTGCGGACCCAATGGAGGATACTGAGAAACATGCGTAAAAGCATGCGAAGAAGGGCCTCGCGCGTTCCGCGGGCCTCAAAATGGCCGGTCGTATCCATCCTCCTGGGGACGTACACATAGGAGTGAAACCTGCTCCCAGCGCTAGGCCCACGCGCGTGACAGCTCCTGGAACACACAAGAACATGCCTGAGATACGCCCTCAGGGCTGCGAAAGCATCGCTTCGGCGAACCCCTCACGCATTTCCTCTCTGACATTACTTTGGGACGCGTAGAAATACGAATGAGCAACGCCATTAGGGCTACGACACTGCCATTTCGGCCCGCCCCTAACGCATTTCTTGGTCCACACTCGATTGGGACACTTGAGAATACAACTGATCTGCGCTCCGAGGGCCACGAAGGGCTCAATGTTATACACTCATCACGCATGTCCTGCCCCACGCCCTACTGGGACACGTGAAAATGTTAGTGATCTGCGCGCTCAGACTCCTGGGACACATGAGAATGATTTGGGCCTCGAGGCTCCTCGGATATGTAAACATACAAAACAATACCATTCCGTTTTGATGGGAACCTCAATTCGGCACACCCCTCACGCATGTTGTGCCCCATCTACCCCGAAAGGCCCTTCGCTGGCCTCCTAAACCGCCCAATTACCCGAAGGGCCCAAATACGCCCCAAAGAAACATTGCAAATATTGGTACCGACCTCGTCGAGGCAGTCTCCCCAACACCCACTGGTTGTAACATCTGCGTGCAAGCTTCCCCATTGGGGCCCGCCATGACTCCCACTCTGCGAGCTCAGGAATTTGGCTTCGACCACCTGGGGATCCCGCGCCGCTCGGAAGACACACTTGCAAGAACGTCAATGATACAAGGGTAAACGTTCAGCTTCGAATGAGGAGCACCTGTCCTGCCCTGCAACGGTTCCCTCTGACAAAACAAGCTCCACCAGACTTTGTAGACTGTGCTGTGGAGGTCTCCTCTGTTGTTGTTGACAACGACGTTGGCGCTGGGGTTGCTTCGCACTCGCCAGTGAGCTTCTGCTGCCTGCGCGGCGATGGGCAACACAAGGTGACGAGATAGCTCCGCAACCGCGCGCGCGTGCGGCAAGCTCGTGTCTTGACGGCCTGTGCTTTGGATTCTGCCCCCGCGAGGATCCGTCAACTCTTGAGCGCTCGTGGCTTTGCCATGGCGCAGATCGTGCAGCATCCCGCGACTATTTGCATACGGACTGTTCCCGTCCGACCTCTCGCGTAGGTCGGGACAGCACAGGCGGCTGGAAGTGGGTCTGGGCGAGGCCTCTGTATGTTTCCTGGGCGTCTCCTGTCTGTGGGGCGCAGGGAGGGTGCAAGAAGTGGCGACGTGCAGATTTTCGCGCCGCATCAGACCTGACGGGGCAGGCGCGCAGACGCGGGAACCTGTGCCGTGCGATGCTGATGCTCCAGAGTTCCTGCAAACCTGCGTCGTGGCAGTCTTTTGTAGCTAACTGGAACTTCGGCACCGACGCGCTCTACTCGGCGGTGCGCGCAAGGGGCTGGCGCGGGGGGGGGGGGGGGGGCGGCCTTCTCAAAGGCGGGGGGCTTCTTAGAAGGCAGGGGCCTTCTACGAAGGGCCTTCGTTGCTAGAGGGAGCAAATGGGAGCGGACAGCCACCTCAGCCTGTCTTCTAAGCTCTGCGAAGGCTTCTGAAAGGCCTGGAAGCTTCTGAGCTCCAACCCCGGAGGGCCCGGAAGCTCCCGAGAAGGCTTCCTTGAAGGCTGGGAGGGCTTCTGAGACACCAGTCATCTTCCTAGACAGACTGCCCCCCCCCCGCCTCCTCGGAAGGCCGCCCCCCCTCGCGCCAACACCCTTGCTGAGAGCAGCGCTCAACCCATCCCCATCCCCGCTGGCGCGGCCTGGGCCCTACTGGCCAATGCACCCCCCCCCCAACGTGGGGATACGCGCTGCTCGCTCTGGGCGTCGAGCGGCCCTACCCCCGACTGGGGTTATGTCGGGCGTGTCCCCCTACAGGGAGATCTTCGACGAAAAAATACAAACTACCCCACAAATGCCCCAAAAAGGTCAACAAATACTTTAAAAAATAGTCCCCAGACTATTTTTGGAGTATGTTTGAACTATTTTGGGGGTATTTTTTATCCTTCGTCGAAAATCCCCCTGTAGGAGGACAGGCCCGACTTAAGACTGGGGTGGTGGTGCGATGGTGGGACTGAGATACCATGGCCAGGTGGGGATGGGGTCGGCCACGCGCAAGATGGACCCTGGGCACGAGTAACCTCTAGTGTGTGGATCATGGGGCGCAAGGTGGCCAAATTTGAGCGCGCAGGCAGCCACAATCGCATCGCGCCGAGCTCTCGGGGGGGCCCCGGCGAGCCCGCATCAGAGGTCACTCTGACGAAGGGTCACCCTTGCGTGCAGTCGAACGGGGATAGGATGGGCGATGCCGACTCGTGGGCGCCGCCATCCTCTGCATCCGTCAAGGGGCTCGCTCAGACGCACTCCCCCCTAGCAGCACCACCCCAAGCGCCCCGCCCTCGAGAGGCTGGCCCTCCCCTGTGCGGACCATGTCCCCCCCCGCGCTCACGACGGGCATTCTCCCGTGTGGCTTCACATGTGCTCTTCCGCGGAGGGCGAGGGGGAGAAGCGAGAAGCAAAAGGACCTCTCGGGAGGCGGCAGGACTTCTCAGAAGCCCTCGCGTCTTCTGAGAAGTCTTCTGTCTTCGGGGAAAGCGCAGAAACCTTTTCAGAAGGCCAGGGGACATCCGAGCCGATTCCGGAAAAACCCTTAACCCAAAAACGTTTTCATCTCTTGGGGGCGCATCGTTTACTTCCGCCGCCTTCCGCCAGCCTTTCGCCGGCTTCAGCTGGCGGAGGCGGCCTCGTTTTACTTCCGCCGCCTTTCGCCGCGGACGAGATGGCAACCCCTTCGATCCTCGAAGGCAAGGCCCTGCTTGAAACGCTCCACACGTGCACGGACCGAAACTTCGGCCGATCTGGCTCAACTTGGACATGCCGCGGTCGGCGCTTCGGAGGAGCGCGCCGGTTTCGTCCCAGACTTGGGGCCCCAAAGTGGTCCCCAGACCTCGTATTCCCCGCTCTCGCCTTCGCGAAGAGCGCCGATGTCGAGAATGTATGGCCGTACTCACATGTTTAGTGCACCCCGCGTCCACCGTTTTGAAATCATATCGTTCAGTGGCCCATCAGATCAGGCACAGGCACTCCTCCTTGACATCAATGATCGGTGTTGGACGTGTTTCGGCTTATGTTGCGAACCCATGCGAGAGATCATACGGTCACATGCGCTCGCTCACGCGCGCGAAAAATAATCATTCAAATGCACTTCAAGGTTGAGCTCCTGAACCACACGTGGCAAATAAATGGGTCCATCACACAAGCATAAACATCCTGTCAGGTGTCATGCGCACGCCAATGCTCATCAAAGCTACTATCAAAATGTGCGGCTGAGTTCGTTTACTTGCACGGTCTTCTGAGGGGACTCAGCGAACAAATATACGAGATCCGAAATCCCAATCGCTCACTTCTTTCACGGTCTCTGGTATTGAGGAGGAGCTTTCTGATGCGAATCGCTGCGACGGGGTGAAGCTCCGAACAAACTTCTACGGTTCTCAACAACTTCCCACCGTTCATTTCTTGCACGGCCTCTGGTATTGAGGAGCTTCATGATGCGAGTTATTCAAGACAGAACTCTTCAACACACATGTGCACATGACAACTTCTTGGCAACATTTGCATGTCACGGCTTTCTGGTCCACAGGGAACAGTTCGGACGCGATGGGGATATAAGAAATACGTATTGATGTTTGGGTTGGGCGGGTATGATTGCGATCCGCCTTCGCAATGGACTCTACTCCACCCGTTCTGACCTCTCATCGCTTTTACATTATACCTGTACTCCTGCCCCACCAGGATCCGTTGGGACCAACTAGGATCCGATAGAACAACTCTGAATCCAACATCGTACGAGGTCCGAGCAGTGGCGGGTGGGGTGGGGTGGGGTGGGGTTGCTTCGGATCAGTTCTTTCGGAGCGAGAGAACTCTTATAGGCAAACGTATGTGCATATTGCGAATGCACCTGTCGGCATTATGCAAACTTTCGGGGAACCCGTAATCGTACAGAAACTCAAAGAACGGGGGCCCTTTTAGATTATCCCGGCAAAGCAACCTAACAGCGATGTGTAGAAGCATATCTGAAAGCATTCCCCTTAAGATTCAGATAAACATCCAGATGAGATGATGCCTGCTCTTTTTTCAGAGGACCGCGCTGAGGAGCGGCGTGCGAAGCGGAGAAGCTGCAAAGCGTGTAGGCTGAAAAGCATTGCAGACACGCGCAGGCTGAAAAGCATTCCGCGACACGCGCAGGTTCACCGCGCACAGCTGCACACGAGCGCAGGCTGAGAAGCACCACGCGCATGTAGGCTGAGAAGCACCACGCGAATGCAGACGGACAGACTGAACAGCACCGCCACAACGCAACCTGCATCTCATGACTCCTCAAGCTCGCGCAGGCCATCCCAGTTGCTGTCGGGCCTTCGCGCAAGCGATCTTCGTCGCGGCAATCTTGTCCGTGAAGAGCTCGGCAAAGGCCTTGGCGATCTGCTCCGGGGGGCCGGATTCGATGATGCTCCGGTCAGGCAAGCCGTGGCTCAAGAGTTGGTTGAAGCTTCTGGGGCGCGACAGGCTGACGTAGTAGGCAAGCCAAATGGACTCCTCCTTGAGTCCTGGCGGAAACGTCCAGTGCACGATGAAGCCTGGGTCCGTCGTCTTGCCCTGGACGCCATGCAGAGTCCCCTGCTTTTTGGGCAGCACGGTCAACTGCGTCCTGGACACCGCGATGGCCGGGCCACCTGTCTTCGCTTTGAACTTCCAGGGGCGCGCCTGCGGGGTGATCGCGAGCACTCCGCGCAGGTCGGGGCCGGCAGGCTGAGAAGCACTGCCAGCTGTCACCGGCGCGGCCTTCAAGAAAAGTTCATCGCTGTCATCGATCTTGACATAGACGGCCTTTGGCATGTAGTAGAGTACGACCACGCCGTCCGAGACAATGGACGGGCGGCCCTCCACCGGAGGCTCCAGAGCGTGCAGCTCTATGCCTACCACTTTGCCTGGCGCGCCACGGACATACTTCGGCGGCAAGACGGATTCTGTCAGGATGACCTCCATGCCAACGAAGAGCGGCAGCAGCCCCGGCATTTTTGCGGTAGCGCCGATGTTGGGCTCCGCGCGCATCTCGTCGTAATCAGGCTTCGCGAGGCGCGCAGCTGGTCTGTCGATTGCTGGGACGTAAAAGAGCCGCTGGCCAGCATCGTGCGCATCAAGCTTGGCCTGTGCATGCATGGCGTAAGAGACGATGCGCCACTCATAGGCCGACTCGTACCAGCCTCGTGCTGCACGCAACCGAGGGCCCCACTGAGGTGGCTGAGCGGCTTGGCTGCTGCTGGCAGCAGGCTGAGCAGCACCACTAGAGCTAACGACCTCTGTTTTGACGATCGCCTGCCAGCTCTCGTCAGAGATCTTTTTTCCGCCTGGAGTTCTCATGGCGTGGAGAACCTCGAGTTGCAAAGGGTCTGTAAAGCGCTGCATCTGCACGAAATCGATGACGTACTCGATGTCGGCGAGCAACTTCCTACCCTGTTGGTGTTCTTAGGATTGGCCCGCGTGAGGCGCCAGCAGGGAAGCGGTGGCGGGGACTGGCGGCAACTGGTAGAAGTCTCCGCACAAGATCTTCACAGGCATGCGTCCCCACGTCTCCTGCGTGCGCATGTACTTCGTGGGGTCCAGGTTGTAGCGCAACGCCCTGCCGTAGGTCGTGCGCAGTGCATCTGCATGCAGCAAAGGCCCCGGCACAGCACCCAGCTCATCGATCACGTCGACGCCGAGTGTGCCTGTGAGGCGTTCCAGCTTTTTCTGCGTCTGTGGGGTCAGGCGCAGCCTGGCTGTCTGCATGGAATCCGACATGAGCAGGCCATTGGAGGAATGCATGGTCCTGCCGCGCGGGCCGAGGTTGTGTGCGGCGTGGTTGGACTGCGCTTTGCC